TTCAAAAATTACTGATAAGACCTTGTCTAGCACCTGGCTGGCTTACTGGAAGTGTTAAGTAAATTATTAAGAGGCTTAATTTCTTCTCCTGCTTTCCAATTTGGGCAACATTTTTCAAAGGGCTCCAATGCAAACTTCTTCCCATAGCAAGCCCTGTATGTGAATTCTTGAATGACAAAATCAACCTTCCGAGGGTCTCAGCTTCTCACTGGCCTACGTGGTCTTTTCTTCTGTTCTCCCAGGAGGGAGTGGCTAAGGAAACATGGCCACTCTTGTTATGGGGAGAAACAAGGAGTCAACACCTGGGTGTTTTGTACCCGGCACACCCAGCTAACCACCAGTGCCTTAGGCTAAACTTCACGCACCTCCTGGAGAACTCTTTCCCAGGGCTGGCTTCACAGACAGGCAACTGGGCAGTCGCATGGGGCCATGTGCTCAGAAGGGCCCATACTTGGTTTAATGCTCTGCTATCGCCATCTTGAAATTCTTAATAACGTTTAAATAAGGGCCCTGCATTTTCATTTTGCCCTGGACCCCACAAATTATGTAGCTGGTCCTACTTTCTTCCATCCTGCAAGACTCAGGATGAAGATCACCTCTTCTAGGAAGAAGACATCAACAGCTGTTTGCTAGGCTCCCATCACCCCTGGTTCCTACCTCCATTTATTCACCCAGCAACACTTAATGAACACCTGCCGCAAAACCATCAGCACTGGCCTTTCTTGAAAACACTCTGAGTCCCAGGCATTGTGCTAAATTCTTCTGACACATGACTTATCTCACTTGCCTACAACCATCTGCTGAGGTGTTTTTAGTTGCTGCCCTGTTAGCTCCAACTCATGGCGACTTTACATATAACAGAACGGAATGTTGCTCAGTCCTGGGCCATCTTCATGACCATTGGCATCTTTGAGTCCATGGTTGCAGCTATTGTGTCAATCCATCTCACTGACAGTTTCCCTCATTTTCATTGACCCTCTACTTTACCAACCATGACGTTCTTTTTCTAGCAATTGGTCTTTCCTGATGATATGTCCAAAGTAATCAAGCTGAAGTCTCACCATCCCCTCTTCTAAGGAATATTCTGCTTGTATTTCTTCTAAGACTGATTTGTTTGCTCTTTTGGCAGTCCACTGTGTATTCAGTATTCTTCACCAACACCGCATTTCAAACACATCAATTCTTCTTCTCTCTTCTTTTTTCATTATCCAAACTTCTCATGCATATGAGGCAACTGAAAAGACCGTGGCATGGGTCAGATGCACCTAAGTTATCAAAGTGACAACTTTGCTTTTTAAAACTTTAAAGAGCTCTTTTACAGCAGATTTGCCCAATGCAATATGTCGTCTGATCTCTTAACTGCTGCCTCCATCGACACTGATTGTTGATCCAAACAGAATGAAATGGTTGACAACTTCCATTAAGGTGGGCACTATTATTACCCCCAATTTACTGAGAGGGAAGTGATCTGCCCACACAGCAGGGAGGAGGTGGAAGCCGGACAACAGAACCCAGGGAGAGTATGAGCTCAGAATTCCTACTCTTGACCACCAGCTGCTGGGCTCAGAACCAACTAGGAACACAGTCATCAAGAACGGGAACATTCCTATGAGGGCCACCACACTCAGGCCACTGAAGTATAACTATTAGTTGTGTTTATATAATTTAATTATCTGTTTGCTTGTTCGGATACTTCACTAGTCTATGAACGCCTTGAGGCCCTGGCCCCTCACGTTTACCTCTGTAATCCATAAATCTATCACGGACTTAGCAGGCGACGGACTCTCAAACATTTCTTAAAAAAATGAATAAATGGTCATTTCCATGCGAGAGGCTGATTTTATTATTAAAAATCTTTACATGCCTCTTATTAAGATATGACAGTTCCATCACAATGAATCCAACTGGTGTTTTGTTTTAGATACATCTCAAACAAAATAAGCCAATCTAAAAGGTTGGAAGCAGTCATTTAAAAAAAAAAAAAAAAAAAAGTTCACCCATTTTCCCTCCCAATTGTGAGTTCTTTATTATCAGGGCTTTTTAGTTCAGCTGTCTGAAATCAATTTTTTTTTTCTTGAAGTAAGCTTGAAGGTTTTTCAATCTGATCAATTTAAAACCTCTAAAACTTTGTCAGTGTCCCAATAAGAAAGCATTTGTGGCACTGGTATTCTTAAAACTATACTAATCGCTGCTAAAAAAGATTCATGCGGTGAATCTAATCTTGAGGAAACATCAGACAAACGCGTATCAAGGGACATGAGACAAAGTAACTGACCTGAAACAGGCCAGTTCCAATTCAAAAATATCATAACAAAGAAGATCCAGAAGCTGCGCCAGGTTAAAGACTAAAGAGACAGAACAACAAATTTAACTGTCAATCTGGGTTGCTTCCCGGACCAGGAAAAAAAAATGCTATAAAGGACATTACAAGGACAACTGGCAAAATTTGAATAAGGACTGTAGATTAGATTAATAGTAATGTATCAAAGTGACATTTCCTGATTTTGATAATTACACTGCATTGTGTAAGAGGAATGTCTATTCTTAGGAATTACACACTGAAGCATTTACGGTTAAAGGGAATGATGTCTGCAATTTAACTAATAGTTTAGGATAAACATACACACACACACATATACAGAGAGAAAATGGGGCAAACTGTTAACAATTAGTGAACCTGGGTGAAGGGTATACAGGAGTTCTCTGTATGATTTTTGCAACGTTTTTACTAGTTAGAAATTGTTTCCAAACAAATATACTGTTTGAATTCTATTAGTACGAGTACTGCTATTATTAATCGGGAAATGCTTTAGAATGTAAGTAGATATCGTGGCATACAATCTAGTGATCGAGGACTTGCTATTCTTGCTTCTAAATATTTCTGAATTCTAAAAATATGGGTGAAAATACATTTAAAGAATTCATGTGATAAAAAGGAAGATAGTTCTGCATGGATATGTGTGTGTACACACATACGCGTGCATATACATACACATACTTGTTTCATTTTGCTTTTGAACTTACTAAACGAAGATGTTAGTGGAAAGCTTTGTGCCATGAGATATTATTATGTAACGTTCCCCTCTTTCTTCCTCTCTTTGAAATCTGCCAGTTTGGGCTTGTCCCTCAGCCCTTCCCCCTAAAGGGTATCAAATTACTAAACTCACCTCAATCCCTTTCCAAGCTGACAGTTTCGGCGGTGCTTTGTTGGGCTTTCAAAACCAATTGCAGGGCTAGCGCCTGGGTTAATATTCAGAACCCTGTTCTGTTTTCCTCTACTGTCATGGCAATGGGGACCACGGGCCACAAAAGAAGCCCAACAAAGGCAGACAAGTTTTTAATGCTCGAGCCATCTGCCAATTCTCCTTAGGATCTTTTCAAGGACTGAGTGAAGTTAAAGCAGAGCCGGGAAGGGGGTCTGCGGGGAAGGGCAGAAAAATCATTCATGGGAAAAGCAACTGCAATATGAAAAGAATCAAAGAAGGCTCAGGGCCTGGGTAGATGAATGAATGGGATCCAAAGCCTCTCCTCTTTAGCGCTAAATAGATCCACCCTACCCTCTCCAATGGGGCCTTTGTCGGTTGTCAAGCATTTTAAATGTTATAGTAAGAATATGTTATTAAGGCGGGACTTAATATACACAAACCACACATACCACCCTCCAGAGGGGTCTTCTAATGACCCATATGGAAAGCTCAAGCCACCTGCCTTTGCAAAGATTACGCTGTTTTTTCCTTTGGGGAGCAAAATGTTCTAAATACAGTAGCTTGACATTAATAAATCATGTCCATAGACATGCAAATTTTTAAGGCCACCAACTATGAAAATCAACTCAAAGTCATGAAAACAAAGTCATGCTCTCAGGGAATTTTATTAAAATTTCAATTTTTTTGGAGCCCTAAATATATTCTTTCTTGAATAAACATTTTTCCTAGAAGGAAAAATCTACTCAAAAGCCTGAAACCATGGATGGCCTGCTTACCTGGAAGGCTGAAGTGCTAAATAAGCACAAAGCAGTGCCTGCCTGGCTCAGGTAAGTAAGTCACACAGGTATCTATCCTATGGCAAAAATCTCAGTTTCCTGAAGGCAGAGCATACCTTTTATTCCCCTGGGTTCCTCCAAAGAACATTTACGAAATAAAGCCTGAACGGGAATAGTAATTTTATGGAACAGTCCATTTACATCTTTTCCTAGTTAGACTGGCAAACTTTAGGTTAACATTTCCTCGTTCCTGAATATAACCTTAATGTAGAATTCATAGCTGGAAATAGAAACCAACATTGGTTGTTGTTTTGTTGCTTCTCTAATGATGCATTTGGGTGGGATTTTTTAAGTTCCCCCATTTTAAATGTACGCATCTTGCAAGGGGGGCAATGATTAAGTTACCTGGTTATTTCTCCTTGCTGTGGTTCAGACTGCACCCTCTCCACCACTGAATTTCTAGGATTTGTAAAATGCCTTTACAGAAATCTTTACAGATGCAGTGTTTATGCAAATCTGTTGCCTTTTTGAAATATAATGTTGCGACTGTTTGGTTTTAAAGTAATCACTGCTAAAAGAGTATCTTGTAAAACTGTTCTCCCTTCCCTGGAAACACAAACCTGCCTAGCTGGGGCCAAGTCTGCAGCCTTTCACAGACACAGGAGGGGCGTGGGAGAGGAATTAGCAAGTGGCAATCAGAATAGACTGACCAGCAGCTAATAATACCTACAGCCAACAACAGAGGCCAGATGCAGAGATTTAAATCCAGGCCTCTGACTTGCAACTGGCTGACAGGACAACTCTAAGAGGATGATGGGGGCCCAGGGATGCAGAACAAGTCCCACTAGGCTCAGGCAGAGGGAGGCCTCCCTTGTGCAAGAGCCGAAGAGTACCCACACACCCGCGGGCCCGGGCTTTGAACTCTGCTCCCTGGGCTGTCAGCTGCTGTGACTGAGTTACAGCCCCGCAGCCCCACCCTCAGCAGCAGGAGGTGGCCCTGGAGGGCTGGGAGGCTGACCTCTGGCTGTGAGCCGGCTGTAGACCTGGGAGTTGACTTCTTTGTCCCTCATGAAGCATCGGATCTCCTCCACCGCCTCGCGGATGATGGTGACCACCAGCACAAAGCCCTGTGGAAAGAGACGAGAGGGGTGAGCCCTGTTGGAGCCAACTGACAAACACTTCTGGGTGCCAGGGGCAGAAAGGGGTGCAGCTACCCTATAATAATATAATACCCCAATAACAGCATTAATGATTATAACATTGATAATATATAATCATATGGAGTACTGGTAGTGCAAATGGTTAAGCTCTTGGGTAGGCAGTTCGAATCCACCCAAAGGAGGCACCTCAGAAGAAAGGCCTGGCGATCTACTTATGAAGAATCGGCATTGAAAATCCTATGGAACACAGTTCCACTCTGACACACATGGGGTTGCCATGAATTGAAATCTACTTTATGGCAACTGGTTTTCTGGTATAATAATATTAAGTATTTAAAAAGTACACACCCCAGAAAGCCCATTTCTCCGAATCTATCCTGGAAAAGCCACATGCACACATGTACCCTAGAGAAAAACTATCATATACACTCGTTGCTGTCAAGTCGGCTCCGACTCATAGAAACCCTATAGGACAGAGCAGAATTGCCCCATAGGGTTTCCAAGGAGCAGCTGGTAGATTCAAACTGCCTACCCTTCTGTTAGCAGTCGAATGCTTTAACCACTGAGCCACCAGGGCTCCAATCATACACAAGAACCCCCATATTCACCACCGCAGGGTTTATAAGAGCTAAAGACGCAGAAACAAGCACACCATGCACCAGAGGGGAGAGGCTGGCTGATGGGGCTGCCGGCTACCATTTACACGTCACCCACCATGTGGCCGGCACTGAGCAAACCCTTGACACCTATTAGATCACTTGATCCTCACAACAACCCTATGAGATATGCTGCTATCACTGAGATCCCCATGTTATAGATGAGGAAACTGACGCACAGAGAGGCTGAGTCATCTTGCCCAAGAACATAAAGCTAGGAAGTGATAAGCAGGAATTTGAAACCAGGAAATCTGGCTCCAGAATCCTTGCTTCTAATTGCCCCACCATTCCACATGTAGAGAAACTCCGATGGAGCCGAAACAACAGCTCACAAGAATATAGTTAAAAAGAACCAGATAGATAGGGGAAGTCTGCCTTTCAGAAGATACAATGTAACACTTTATGTAAACAACAACAAAGATTCCATATAGTGCTGAGTATTTGCTAATTTACTATGGGTACTTAGTACATGTTGTTATTAGCTGCCATCGAGCTGGCCCCCTGACTCATGGCAACCCCATGCACAATGGTACAAAACACCACCCACTCCTGTGCCATCCCCATGACTCCTGCTAATAACTGTTGGGATCCATAGGATTTTCACTGGCTAATTTTCAGAAGTAGATCACCAGGCTTTCTTCCTAGTCCATCTTAGACTGAAATCTATTCAGCATCCCAGCAATACACAAGCCTCCACTGACAGACAGGTGGTGGCTGTGCATGAGGTGCACTGGTCAGAATCGAACCCATGTCTCCTGCATAGAAGGTGAGAATTCTACCACTGAGCCACCAATGCCCTTGTACCCAGTACACAGACATGTTAAATGTATAGAAAACAATCTGGAAAGAGACACAACACACCAAACCTGAACGACTGGTTAGGGTACTCTGCAAGGAGAGGGACTAGGATGGGGTTGGGAGGGGTGGGTCTGTAAAGTGTTAAGTTTTCATAAGAAAACATATTAACGAATTAGTTGTATAAGTATCAATTATTTAAAAGAAAATTTTAAAAACTATCCTTGATCTTCCCCTAAGTATATCCCAATTCATAAAATCTGAGACTGGGGTGGGGTGGGGGGTCACCCATACAAGAATCTATTTGCATCTAGATTTTTCCTCTCATATCAATAAGGGTAAAAACACTCACTCATTTTTCTTACAAAACAGTCCTGTCCTCCTTCCCCTCCCCCTTCTAAAGCTAGCCAGAACACTTTTTCTTTTTTTTAAGCACAGATAGCATAACTGCCCTGGAGGTTAAAGAGAGCGATTCCTTGAAGATTTCATTTTCATACTGTTTACCCCACCAAATATATTAACTTCAACTCAAAGGACTTTAAATCTCTTATGTAAATCTAGCAGGGATGCGCTGTGCTGTGAAACGCTGCCTCCAAAGACCCATAGATCTTTCCAATCAAAGGTCCACTCCTGTTTCCAGTCAGATGGAAAGTACACACTTTGGCCAAAAGGAAACTGGTGCATTTCAGAGTGAAAGCGTAACCAGACCACATAGGGAGGCACACAGAACCTCTTCTGGAAGGGGACAGACCCAGCTTGCAGAGGCACCCCCTCCCCACACTGCTGTTTTGTTGTTCTGTGCCAGCACCCAGGTTGCTGTTGTTTGTTTTTGCAAATGTTCCCATTTCTCTTTCTCTCTGCTTGGGCCAGGCTCAATCTCACTGATGTTAATGGAAACTGTGTGCTCACTCAGACACAGGAGCCACTAAGCTCTCTGCTGCAGATAATTCTGCCTCCTAGCTAAGTTATTGCATGATGCCCCTACTCCCAAGCACACAGTTCTCATTAATCCTGGAGGACACGCTAGCCCTTAGGCTAGAAATCGCTTTACAAAGAAATGCAAATGTAGTCCAGAAATAAATTCCAACCGCTCATCTCGGGAGGTCCTTAATAGCCACAGATATTTAGGAGGAGGCTTTAATATAGGGACCAAGGTTGGCTGAGCTCATAAAGAAATCATAGGCAGTGACCGGACGGACAAGCAATTCTGAAGGTGGCAAATGTTTTCAAAGTCATCCTTCAAACATTTACTGCTCATCCGTCAGTTGGTCATACTGTGGTGGCTTGCGTGTTGCTATGATGCTGGAAGCTACGCCACTGGTATTTCAAATACCAGCTGGGTGACCCATGGTGGCCAGGTTTCCACGGTGCTTCCAGACTAAGATCGATGAAGAAGAAAGGCCTGGTGATCTACTTCTGAAAATTAGCCAGTGAAAACCCTATGGACCGCATCGAAATATTGTCTGATACAGCGCTGGAAGACGAGCCCCCTAGGCTGGAAGGTGCTACACAATAGTTGCAACAATGGACTCAAACACGCCAACCATCATGCAGATGGTGCAGGACTGGGCAACATTTCATTGTCTTACAAATAAGGCACCAACTCAACGGCCACCAACAACATCACCACTTCAAAAACAGACTTACTAAAGCAAATCTAATCTAGGGGTGATAGAAATCAGAAAAACAGGTGGCTCTGGGGGTGGAGGTGACGGTGACAGGAAAGGGGCACCTTTCTCGGGTGATGGAAATGTTTTACGTCTTGATTGGGGTGGTGTTTACATGGGTGCTGACAGCTGTCAGAACACATTGAACTGCATACTTCAGACCTGTGCACTTTACGGTACATAGATTGTATCTCAGTAACGAGAAAATCTAGACTTATTCTTTGGTCTTCATACAAACAATTGTATCGATTATCTCTGTCATCTCGTGAGGAATTCCTCCCGCTAACATATTAGTACCAAGAACAAAGTTCCTAAAAGCTAAAACTTGATCCATGCAATAAGCAACGAAGTCACTAGTGCCCGAAAAATCCATTGACTCCGACACATAGCAACCCTATAGGACAGAGAACTGCCCCCACAGGGTTTCCAAGGCTGTAAATCTTTACGGAAGCAGACTGCCACATCTTTCTCCCGCGGAGCAGCTGGTGGGTTCAACCGCTGACCTTTCGGTTAGCAGCCAAGTGCTTAACCACTGCGCCACCAGGGCTCCTCCCACTCATGCCAGAGTTTAAAAATTAAAATGAGAATGCTGAGAACTTTCTATATGTCAGGAACTCTGCAAAGGAAGCAATTTACTTGCAGTAATTCATTTAATCCTCCCGACGAGCCAAGGAGGTAGACACCATCACCCTAATTTACAGATGAGGAAACTGGCACAGACAAGAAAATCTATTAAAAGGGCAGCCAAGAGCTGAACCCAAACCATTTGCATCACTGCGTTTGATGGCTGAGTTTGAAGTGAGAGGACTTTCAAGGTAGTCAGAAGACATTTCAAAATGTTTTCTAGACAAGAAGCGAAAATTGATTCTCCGCATAAAAATCCATTAGGAGAAATCAGCTACGGTCACCTACAAACAGACGCCATATCTGTCTGTAACCTCAAGCCTTCTTTCTCTTCAGTCCCTGGGAAGAGAAGCCAAAAATCAAGACAAATATCCTCCCCCTACCCTCACTTAACCATCACAGGAAATGCTGGCTACAAAAGGGCCCACAATGCAGAGTTAGAAACAAGGGGTTAACCTGTCCGGCTTCTATCTAAAGCCACAATGTTGTCGTTACTGTTAGCTGCCATTGAGTTGGCTCTGAACTTAGGCAACCCCATACACAACAGAACAAAATGCTGCCTGGTCCTGCGCCATCTCCGTGATCAGCTGCAAACTGGACTATTGTGATCCATAGGGTTTTCAGTGGCTGATTTTCAGAAGTAGCTCACCAAGCCTTTCTTCCCAGTCCACTATAGTCTGGAAGCTCCACTGAAACCTGTTCAGCATCACAGCACCACCCAAGCCTCCACTAACAGATGAGTGGTGGCTGTACATGAGGTGCACTGGTTGGAATTAAACCCAGGTGTCCTGCATGGAAGGGGAGAATTCTACCACTGAATCACCACTGCCACCATCTAAAGCCATAGTCGGAGGGAAACCAGGCCAGTCACTTGGAAGACAACACAGGTGGCAAAGTTGTCACCCACAGGTGGGGTTCCACACTGGGTAATATTTTCTTTTGGCCCAGTATGGAAATAAAAAAAATCAAAATAACCGCCTACAGTTGAAGTTAGGACTTTGGGGCTTCTCTTGCAAAATCAAAGAACGGTGTAACACCAAGTAGGCATCTCAGCGAGAAGAAAACTGGCTGGAGCAGCATGCTGGGCCCCTATTTAGAAGGGTGAGTACCTCCAATTCATCAGAGGCTGCACCGCTCCCTCCAATCCACCTGCTCGCTCAATCACGTTTCCTGAGGGGCTTCGGCAGGCACTGGAGTTTGTCCTCACTGCTGTTGATACAGAGTA